CTTACATGCACATGCATACATACATACATACATACATACATACATACATACATACGCACATACGCACATGCGTACTTCAAATACATAAATTTCTACATCCATACATTCACCATACATTCATACATTCATACATTCATGTCTACATATTATGCGTGTGCGCTAGAGGCCGCACCCAGTCAAAAGACAGCATCGCACGAATGGTCTGGCATGCCACGCAACATCACGCAACCAACTTCGCAGAACGTAGTGCAGTGCGGATGATACTGAACGGTCTCGAACAGGATGGCTGTAAGCTGCCCTGCCAACTGTCATTGCGCAAGACTCTCTGAAATACAGTCGCTCATCCGAACAGGGAGTTCTCAAAGCCTCACTGTTCTCAATTCAAACGACTCTTCCAATTATCTTCGACAGCGGGGAACACGGAGGCCCAATTTCATTTCTGCTCCAAGATACTGTGGCATGTTTCAGCACCCACTCGGCAGATTCCCCAAAGTACTTCTGCCAGTGCCTGGCGCACACATGCTTAAGCTGCTGAAAACAAACCATGCTGGCACTGCAGCTTGCCTCAGACTCGAGCAGTCCAAATGCCAAGGCCAGTACGTACTACCAACAAAAAGACTTGGATCTGACTAGAATTGGTAGGGTTCCATGATGTTCCATGATTGCTGGGGCTACTTACCGCTTAGCTGTGGACGTCCCTGCTGGGCAGCTGATGGCCGTTATCTAGAAACTGCTATACGATTGCACTGGTCTCGGCTATTCCATCTCTACCAATCCGGTCTATTCCTGTCTGTTACTCCATCTCTTCTTACACTAGGCTATCGGATATCGTGTTGCGTGATGCACCTGCGGTTTGTACTGTGTGCTCCTGAATCTGAAAAGCCTCTTCATTTAGCCGCGGGCTGTACGACCTTGTCTGATACATCCAAGCACTCCTGTTCTTGCGCGCTGTGCCTGTGTGTCTTCTCACATGGCTGCCTGTCTGTCGGGCTGTCTGTCAGTCTGTCTCTGTCTGCATGTGTCGCTCTCTCTCTTCTCCAGCTCGTCAACTACTAGCTTGATGGGTGTCGGTTTCTTGTTTACCTAACTATTGTCGTTGATGGCAAGCTCGTTCGGCTGTGTATATGCACTGACCTTTCTGACAACCCTCCCTTGGCCTGTAGACAAATGGAGGCTTGTGCACCCCGTCATCGCCGCAGAACTCGCCGATCAGCATCGTGTAGTATCCAGGTAACAGGGAGATCGTGTCTTCTGGGCGCAGGGAAGACATCTGATACGCTTCCTAAACGTGGCCATGCGGGCTCACCACACTGGGAGGGAAGAAAAAGGACAAAGCGCACCAAAGCCGCTGAAGCGTTTGTTGACCCAGTCCATCTCTGATGCGAGGTGGAGGCTTGAGCTGGTGTCGAGGACACCTGCAAAGTCAGGACAAGCCGCAGCATCGGCTATAGAAAAGTTCGGCCTCCTTCATGTCTCGTTGCGGCTACTTCACGAGCAAACCCTCCATTGAGATGGCAACCACTGCTCTGCAACATCTGGCGTCTCGCAGAAAAAGTCAAGGTAACCACAACCAAAAGCCAGGGCATCAAGGTCTCAACCACAAAAAAACTCTTGTAGTTTCAGCGAATAGTGTACCCTTATATAGAACCCCCCCCCTGCCGAATACCGTACTCCAATATTCTGCATCTTCCATATCTCCAACTCCACTCAGGCTTATGCCCAGGCGCTGCCGAAGTCCCGGTCGTAGAAGATGCGCCGGGGATCGATGACCATCGGGCCACCACTCATCGCGCCGTGTCCATCCCAGTAGGACTCAGCTGCTTAGGTACTTCAACAGGAGCTGTGCAACGGAGAGTCGCCTCAGTGATGCTCGCGACAACTTGCTGACAAAAGGCGAATGGTGTCGCGATCTCCACCGGAAAGTTGGCCAAGTCAAACCTCGGCACGGAGCCATTCACCAACTCGAATTCTAGCGGCCAGGCATACGTCTGCTAGCGTTGCCGCTTTGGCCCCACCCAGTTCCCAAACAGCCCTTCCAGTTGGAAGCAGACAACGCTGAGATCAAAGATCCCTTAGGGTTCACATGCCGATCAGCCAACACCGTCTCGACCTCAAAACTTCAATGGAGTGTGAGAGTAATGATAAGGACAGAGGAACTATGAGCTTAGGGGCAAGTTGTCCAGGCTGCCGATAGGAAAGCTGTCAGCATCCATGTAGATAATGCGGTCGTATTGGTACAAACTGGCCTCGGAGCACAACTTCGAGAGTGCACGAAAGCTCCCTGCACCGTGAAGAGGCCCCTGCCTATAGGGTACCATAGTGATAAGGATCCTCATGCCAAAGCCTCACGTTGGCCTTTGGTTGCCTCCAGCTACCCCTGAACTGGCGATAGACTAGGAAATGTCCACCCGAGGCGAGACAAGCAGCCACTCGAAGCTTGAGATAAGACTGCACCCACTGGTACATGCCTTTGCTGGTGGTCTGCTGCACCTTCTCAGTTGCACAACCACTGGGGAAAGGAGAGTCTCTGTGAAGCCCTTTGCCGTGACTGTCGCGAGTCCTCGAACTAAGCCCCAGACCCGAAGAATCATACTTGGAGAAGCAGGGACAGATTTGTAACGTACACCGGGATAAAGTCACGGTAGAGTACATATATGTGGGACCTCTTATAGCCCTACGACCGGAGGCCGCCCCCCCCCCCCCCACAAGAGCAACCGAATCCACACTGCCTTGATAAGCTTGATGCCCAGCTTCTCAAAGCGAGCGCGACGCGGCACCTCCTCGAAGTGAACCACAACCATATCCGCATTGGGCCTCAATCCGTTCCTGGGATGTGGCAGTCGGGCCTTCCATAGAGGCTAAGCACGCACTAGCACTCGCCTCTCAGCAGTGCTTGAAAATATAGGGTTTGGGCCCTAGAACACTTGTGGGAGGGGGTATCGATGTAAGTGCAGGTCTGGGGCTTGCAAAGAGTTCTCTATATTTGGTGTAACTCCGGTTCCACTGAGAGAAATTGCCTCGAAGCAATAAGAAAAAACACGTCGAAAACCTGCCACAGATGAGGAAGTCTCTGCTTGATAAACCAGGCATTGACAAGGATGGCACACGCATAATCCTCAAATTGCCTGGGCTCGCCTGCCAAATACCAGGCATAGGCCACGCGACCGGTTGGCGGAGGTGGCTTGCCCACAGGTGTCGCGACAGAGTCATTCCAGCCATGGATGCCCCAACTTGGCCCTGAGACAAGGGCAGCCACACTGGGGACATCGTTTGCGGCTGAAGCGGCAGGTGCCGCATCTGCAACAGGTGTCGCAGCTTCTGCAGGTGCTGCTGCTTCGGCCGTCGCAGTAGTCGCGGCCGAGACTTCGGGGATCGAGGGAACCGCGCCAAGCGCAGCAACTGCGGGGGCGGCAGGAGCTGTAGGAGCGGCAGGGCTTCCTATCGTTTCCGGTGGACTCCCAGAAGCTGCGAGCCCAGGGTCTCCTGCCCCCTCCAGAGGTGCTTTTCCAGAGATACTATTTTCCTCCCGTCGAGCCACACTCCGAAGGGCGTTGGAGGCTCTTCTGGGCTCAGGCTCTGGAGGAGCGGACCTCTCTGGAACCGGTTCCGTGCGCTGCCCAGCAGCTGAGGAACTTTCCTGGGAAGTCAAAGCCAGCAGCACCAGGGCCGTTACAGCAAGACCAAAAAAGAAACGCAGGGCGGAGGCAAAAGCTCCACGCGGGGCTTTGGAAACGGCTTGCATCGCCGGGACGAGCTCTTTCAGGAGCCTTGCATAGTAACTAGGGTTCTGGAAGATACAGGCTGCTGACCAGCACTCTTGCAGATATTCTGCGAACGCGCATACCAGAATGCATCTGAATGTCCTATCATGATCCGGAACTACTCCGTACTGCGCAGGTCTTGAAACAGATCCCTGAACTCACCTGAGCCAAAAGCTGAGGAGGACGTCAAGTGGTCTGAACTTGGTCGCGTACCATAGAACGTTATACAATTAGACAGTCACCAACTTCATGTTCACACGATGTCGAACTCTTAGATGGACGGGGTGCAGGCACGGGCATAAGCATGCGTGTTATGAGCTCTTTTTGCTCAAAGCCGCACATGCTCCTGCCGGCAGAAATACAAAACAGACAAAAAAAAACCTAAGAGCCTGATTGAAAATGATCGAAGAAGACTCCCACCCAGCCCTTGCACCTGTTCTTCTTTGTGCATGCCGCTGATTGTACCCTCCAGCACAATGACATAGCGCACACCTGCAGCGAAACCCCCAAGACAACCGTGCCGCCATCATACCTTTGGCACTGTGCCTGTGCATCCTGTGGTCATTCCTTTCTCAGGGAGAGTTCCCGCTCTGATAGCCCGATACCCTGGAACTATCACGGGGTCCGCACCGTCGGGCAAAGCACCCCCAGATTTCAGGTCCTTGATGACCTCAGAAGTGGCAGTCGCTCTCCCGAGTTCCGACATGGTTGCACATGACTGCTTGGAAACTCCTTAGGCTTTAGGGTTTAGGGTTTAGGGCTGCTTGATGCTGCAACCTCGCGCTGGGACCCTTACCACCGACTTCGCGATGTCATTCCGCTGGGTGGACGAGAACTGTGACATCACGGGGCACATCCTTGGCAGCATGCCATAAGAAGGGCTCGGTGTGGCAAGGGCAGGAGGTCCAGTATTTCAACTCCGGTGTCAAAAAAGAAAGGATGAGAGGGATGAGATCTCTCGAAGCCTTGATGAGAGGAACGAAGAGGCCAGGAGCTCCATTATTTCAAATCCACTGTCGAGAAGAAAGGATGAGACAGATGAGATCTCTCGCACCTTGAAAGCAGAGAGACTAGCTCACCCCAGCACTGGACAGCATGAAAGTCCTACACGCAATGCTTGTGGCACCAAAGCCTGCATCAATAAACACGTACATTTGACCATTTTTACCTGATGCAATCACCGCAGTCATCACAAGCCAAGTTGCCTCAAACCCTTCTGCACCAGGGCGGACTCAAGGATGCCACCCAAGTCATTGCCCAACACCTCCTTCAGATCCTGCACAGCGTGTGAGCGCAGGAGGTTCTAGGGTACAGCTTCTTGCGTAGAATGGTGCAGGACTGTGGCAGGCGGCATCTCTTGAAATGCGGAACTACAGAGGCTTCAAAGACGTGTGCTTCCGTGCTGGCGAAAAATGAACCTCCGGACGGTCTCCGTGACTGTGAAACATGCGACGCGGCCCAAGTGCTCTGACTGGGGCATGGCCTTCACGCTGATGCAGAGCAGCTCTGTCCTTGGTGGTGCTGGTGCTGGTGCTGGCGGTGGTGGCGCTGGTGGCGGTAGCGGTGGTGGTGGTGTTGGTGGGTGGCGGTGGCGGTGGCGGTGGGGGCAGCATTGGAGCAGCAGCAGCAGCAGCAGTAGTAGTACCAGTGCTAGTACTAGTACAGTACTGGTGGTAGTAGTAGTAGTAGTAGTAGCAGCAGCAGCAGCATCAGCAGCATCAGCAGTAGAAGTAAGAGCAGTCGTCGTCGTCGCAGCGGCAGTGACAGTCGACATGATGATCTAGTGGTAGTGGTGGGGTGATGTGCAGCATGCATCACATTGTCTGCACGTTCGACTTCCCCTTGGCCCTGCCCCTCGGCTCCCCGCTTTGCATCTGCCAGGAGCGTGTGATCCCAGCTAGGGCGCTGTTTCTGACCTCAGCGCTGTTGCTCAACCATCAACGTGGATTCACTTGCCTGGCTGAGCGCAACATGGTACAAGGGCAAATTATACAGTAGCTCCAAGCAAAAGAAAACAAACAATCCACTTGAATTTGGAGGGTGGCAGTGATCCGCACCAACTAGAACCGACTTGCGTGCGCACGCATTCGGCAGAAGAGGCAAGCGGCGATGCTCTGATTCGCTAATGAGACTATCGTGGGTTCAATTGCTCTAGGCAGTGGGTGGAACGGTACCACGTGCCGTCCACTCTAAGTTCTGCAGGACTCTTCGGCTTTCAATGCAATGCAGTAGACCCTCTGCCTCTGAAACAAAGCAGCAACGCTCCAGCTTCTGCTTGCTTTCCATCTTCTTCGGGCGAGAGAGCTAGTTGAGATTCTTTGCTTCAGGGCTGAAAACGGGCTCATGCAAGCCATGCCACTCAGCAGAAGTGCGGCGCCGATGTACTCGCCGGACGAGAGCTTCTGTGCCTCCCCCACGAGCTTTGACAACGGACACATTGAGTAAACGAGCAACTGCACTTGCAAATTGAACGATCGAAGGCATCCGAGTCATGCCGGAAGTACATGTAAGGTGCGTCGCATGCAGTTTCTTTGGCAGTTGATGTCATGGTGCCTGCACACCGCCCTGGAACTTGCCGTCTGCCTTCCTTGGCCAACGCACACAAGTTCTCGGCAACTTGCAGCATCTACACGTACACGACCGTTCGCGAGGCAGTCCACAGTCCATTCGGTACTCAACTATTGTAAACTTGGCTCCGAAGTTTTGCGGTGTGATTACATCGAGCTCCAAGCGGAATAATCAAGGCACTGACAGCTCCATGAGACCTGTGAATTCTGCATTTGAGGTTCACTTCGCCACCAGACATCACAGAGAGCCCGCCGCGTTTCACCTCAGTGGGGTCAGCGAAATCTCTGTCAGAAGCACTTGGTTGAGGTGCGTCATTGGCAACAAAAAATATCAATCCGACCCTCTCGGCATTTGTCCTACCTGAACACCCTGGCGCCCGAGACCTGAGCATGGAAAAGACGAAAGAACCCATAGCAGGAGCACAGACGAGAATTCAATTTGCATCCAGGCCTCTGCGCCTGAACTCCGAAACCACCCGAATTCTTCGCTGCAGCACAGGTGGCGAAGTAGATAGCCGCCAGGGATTCCCCTTGGGTCGCCACGCGTTGGCCCGCCTGGCCGAAACTCCCAGAAGGTCAAATCAAGCGACAAGGAAAGAATACAATCTCGAGGACACCCCCGAGTGGTGCTGAAAACCTAGCACTGCAATACGTCCGAAAGGCGAATCGCTGCTGCAAAGGTTGGCGGGGCCTTTCCCATCGAGGCTTGCGTGGTAGCTGTGTTTACATGCGCAAGAGCCTCCAACTTTGTCAGAGGATGCGTGGGCAGTCGGACAGCAGTGCCCATCGAGGTGCGCCCGAAAGGGTTGATGTAGCTTCGATACGCATGTTTTTAAAGGAACACCTCCTGGTGCTTAGAGTTTAGTGGAAGCTGGCCGATGTCTGCCAGGCGTGCCAGCTTTCTGAGCGTCTCTGCCCGACCGCTCCGCATAGCCCATGGCTGCACCTCTGTCCGGGGAGAGGGAGCAAGTAGAACAGCGTCTTGCCACGCGTTGGGGCCCACCCAATCCCAGACTTGCATCAGCAGAGGCCACCGCGGCATGTGGATTCGAGTGGGCTCCCGGTAGCCTCTCCGTTTGAGCTGCTCCTTCAATTCATGTCCAATCGGCGCATACTCAAGGCTGAAGACAGCCGTCGACACGTTTTCGACACAGTCTTGCCGATCTCAAAACCGCGCTTTGCACCCAGAGAGCTGCCGTTGCACGTGCTGTCTTCGATAAAGAAAGGACTCTGAGAAGAATGCGTGGCAACACGATCTGGCAAATCGAGGCCGTACCGATCCTGCTCCAGGAGCGATGTCCTTCGCTTGCTTTTGCTTGGCGACCATCCATCTTGCCAGGCATGTCTTTAGCCCTGCTGCATGTCACATGTAGTTGCCAGAGGCCGACATGCAAGCCGCGCACAGAGTCAGGTTTTCCCACCCGCCCAGAGTCAGGTTTAGGATGCAGGGCACACGTCAACATCATCACTAGCAGCAGCATTTCATGTTCTGCATTAACGTTGTCGATACCGGCCTTTAGCAGAACATGCCTGTCCAAGTCGCTACCGACTATTGGAACATAGGTCCAGCATGGCAGACGAGTGCGCCTCGAAGGCCTCGGAGAAAGCAGAAAGAGCGATCTGGTCCTGGAGCGCCACTCACATGCTAGACTGCTAGAACATGCTATGGCTTTCCTTGCACCTGCTCCAGAGAACCACCACCACCACCACCAGCAGCAGTAAATCTTAAGACTACGACAACCAGAGCTTGCTCTTCCGGCAGTGTTGCTTGCCATCATGCTGCCGACGCTAGCAATCCTGCGATACTTACCAGCGACGATCATTCATGCAAGCTGGCCGATATCTCGAAGAGAGACTGCAACTCTGAGACCTACTGTGAGACTCGAAGACCTTGTGATCCCGAGGCGTGCCCCCAAAAGGACCTTCTGTTTCTGATTGAGGCCGTCGAAAACCTTGATGGAGTCTAGGAACTTCAGGTTGTCAGCCTGCCAGGCCAGGAGGTGTCGAGGGGCTGCGAACTTGCATCAGAGCGACTGGCTTGCAGTTACGTGGTTCGGGTTGTTGAGGGGAAGTGGTGAGGTTAGCCCCCGGAGTTAAAATGCAAACCAAGCAGGTTGCACTGAGATTCATGGCCTGGCGGTTGGCTGCATTCTGCGCAAGCACCTGTGATCAGCTGCACTGGTGCGCTGTCGGTCCTATGAATCGTGTAAATGCATGTATCTGTATGGATACATACTTGCAGGTGCATTTATCTCAACCCGCCTGCTTGAAATTGTTGCCATTCGCTCCCCATACACCCGCTTTGCTCAGAGCTTGCACAGTGGCTGTCCTGGCATTGGGGAAATGAAGTAATCTGCATGAGCTGCATGAGCTGACAATCGTTCCTACTGACAGCGGTGCCTGGTGGATGCCTTCACACACACACACAAGCCACAATGCCAGACTGGTCTCCTGGGACAGTTGTAGAGCAATGCCAGGCCTGACAGCCAAATCCGAGGAAACAGAGAGCAGAGTGCGCATGAATCCCCTAAACCCTAAACCCTAAACCCTAAACCCTAAACCCTAAACTCATGGAAAAGGCAGCAGGCCCGTGACACGTCAAGGCCAAGGCATGCCGACCCAGCACTTAAAGGATCATGGGACTTAGTAAGTAGGGTTATAATTAGGGTAACTATACTTATAACCCCAATTAAGGGACTTATAACCTTACTTACTAAGTCCCATGATCCTCCAAGCAGGCAAGGCCCAAAGACGATTTCGGCAGCCATCCTCAAGCGCTTCCAAGCCCGCCTCCAAAAGCCTTGCCCTCTTTGAGGGTATTGACCACGTTACCTGGGAAGCCACGAATAATTGGAGTAGAGTTTCGGGGTATATTGAACCATATTGATACGAGTAGTAGGGACTCTCTGGGGGGATGCTGTTGGCACCGACGTCGTAAGCAGCCAGCGATCTTGTAATAGAGGGGCCGGAATATTGACGAACCGTCTAACCCGTCATAGTCCCTCGAACAGCGCAGAGCCACCTAATATAACAGCACAGTGCAAACAGCATGCCCAATAACATTTCTAAGTCTGGATAACAAACTCGACTCGGAAGTTTCCGAGCTTTCTGACCCTGGCTTCTTCAAGCAATCGCAGAACCATCATGGCCATAATCATCTGGCATCTGGATCATCTAAGGGCTCCATAAGGATCTTCGGGTTTTTGTTGTAGAGTTTATGGAGGCTCCACACAGGGTATTCTTACAGGGAAGATTGTTTGGGCTACACTCGCAGAATTGTCCGCAGCCTGGCTCTCTTATCCAATGCCGCCTGGGTGCCGTTCACGGAGACCTCCAGGGTTCCCGTGTCGGTGACGAAGAAGGTGGTGCCCATCTTTCCCTGCTCCACGATGAGACCTTAATATTAAGGCTTTGTGGTTTGGGCCTCTGGAGGAGCACGAACAAGGCTGGGCGTTCGTCGTATCACGTTCCAATGTCCAGCTTCGAAGTGACTTGCTCAGTGATACACACGTATCTAGACGCAGACACGGTTACAGCAAGTGACAGGCAACTTGGGCTTCAGGACACTACCACTCAACGTGAGCAAGAACAAAATCAAATGAATATCTGCCCCCTCCGATTTTGGCAGCGCTGGCATGTTCGCTTTCCGCTCAAAGGTAGTTGGCACTGCGACCAGCCGAAGCTGCTGTATCGCTGCTACATGGACGAAAGCTGGGTATAGACAACATCCTGTCTTAGAAGCAGCCCTTGATGCTTCCAAGCCGCTTCCCTGCTCAAACCTGAGTTGTGCAAATACTCCACCATGCTTAGCACCTCGAGCCGGTGGCCGCTGCACTCTATCATTTACATTGCCGTCCAGGAGCTCAAAGTACTCCATAGTGGAGAGGATGGCTTCGACCTTGTTCACAACGCGGTCGTCGAAACAGAATGAGACGAGGAAACAAGACTGAAAGCCGGCAACCCTGCATCCAGCATCCAGCAAGCAGAGTAGACTCAGCAGGTGCAAGCAAGCAACCCGAACCAAAGCTTCTTCAATCTGGAATAAGTCGGATTCTGCCGCAAATCAACTTGCAGGGTTGCTGTTGTGTCGGATGCATTCCGTTGAGCCCATCACCTCTGACTCCTCCAAGATCGCACAAACGCGGTCCTGACTTGCTGGATGCTTTCTGATGTGATTTTGGTGGCTTGCCAAACAGCTTAGCTCTGTGAGTTGACCTTCTTCTCTAGGCTTCTACCCGTAGCGTAATCCAAAACCATACAATAAAGTGTGTTTGGAAATTTGCGGGTTTGGTCCTTTCCAAGCACAAAAATTCTGCGATAGCACACAAGCTTGCCTGCTTCATAGCGGTCTTGAGGAGCTCCTTGACGGCCTTTGGCGTCATGAAGAGCACAAGGGATGACTCCGTGACTGAAACACTGAAACCCCATGTTCTGCACCTGGGTGAATGTCGAATTTGACCCCCGCAGGCATTCATGCAGCCTTGTTCATCTCCTTTTTGATCTTGTGCTGCGACAGGTACTCCTGCGGCGAATCGCATTACGGAAATGTTATGAAAGGGGCTGCCGGATGCCCAGCGAATCGGACTCTGCTGTTCGGACTGAGCTGAACAGGCACTTTATTTCGGGCGCAAGAAAGATGAGATGAAGGTGCAACGACTCCGTTTTTGCTGCTCGAAAAGCATGCCGCCGCTGTCGCCGAAATCGCATTCAGCGGTCGCGCAAGAAGGTCTCCGGCTATCGACCACGGGTCGAAGTCCAGGGCTTCAGGTTTAGGACTTCGAGGTCTTGTTGGTATTAGTCTTTAGCGCTTCCTTTTGCGAGCAGAATCCCCCGAGAGGGCTCAAGCCCCGGTCGCAAAGGTCGCTTCAGAGCCCTTCTTCTTGCGGCCAGAGTGGAGGTGACAGAAGTCCTGAGACGGGGCGGGCTTCTGTTCAGGCCTGCGGCTGGGGGTTTCCGGCGAAGCTCTTCTGGGCCTGAAGGATGTCGACTCTCAAAGCTGGGATAAGGTTATATAAGTTATATAGTTGAATCCAAGATAGTCGAATCAAATATAGTAGAAAAATGCATTATAGAATATTTGCCACATAACACAATAGAATAGAACAGAATGGGATGGAATAGAATGGAATGGAATGGAATGGAATCGTAGAGAATGGAATAGCGAATAGAATAGAGAAAAGAATAGAGAATAGAATAGAATAGAATAGAATAGAATAGAATAGAATAGAATAGAATAGAATAGAATAGAATAGAATAGAATAGACTTGAATAGACTTAGATTAGAACAGAATAGGATTAGAATAGAACAAGGATAGAATAGAACAGAACAGAATATAATAGAGTATGATACAATATAAGATTAGCAGCTGATGCTACGACAATGCGAGCCTTTCAGCTCAACGCGGCACTCGTAACGCGAACCTATCGAAGGCAAAGCGACGCATAGCCAGGACTTCTTGCAGCGTCCAGGCACCCGCTCGAACATACAGGGCCTGGCAGAGCAAGCAGAGACTGCAACCAGCAGCCTCACGATCACAGTCAGCACATCGACTTCGCTTATGCACAGTTTTGTGTTAAGGGTCTGTGTTAAGGGTCGGAAAGCTGGATCGGGAAAACACGGCCTTATCTCAATGATTAGAATAGAGATTTGGGGCCCATTAGATTACACCACCCTAAGGAATAATATTATAGGTGTAACCTTAAAGATTATTCCTTAGGGTTCCTTATTATAGGTATGTGAAGACATATACCTATATTATTCCTTAGGGTTCCTTATTATAGGTGTAAGATGAAGGCCTAGGCTGATGAGATGCGCCTGCAGGGAGCGCGCGTCTCGCAGCTGTGCACCAGAGACCCGAAGGAGCGCACCTGAGTGGTGGGCGGAGTTTGTGATCCTTTTTCCATTTTGCGCTTTTTGCAAGATATGACCCCTTCCTTCTTTGCGGCCTACATGCTTTTTGTTGCTGTGGCAGAGTCCGACGATGGCTATATGTTTGGTACTGCCCCCACCTATACTGTGACAGTCTATAATAAGGGTAGCATCCAGGGCCGTAGATAGTGTCCACTGCAAGAACTACTGCAACAAACGCAACAGCATCACCTGCTGGCCACTGCAGCGTGCCCTGTGTAAAAGGATACTCACGGGCAGCTGGCAGATGTCTCTATCATCATCGTCATCATGATCCGAGGCGTCATCGCCATCATCACAACCATCATCTGCACAAGTGTGATCATCTCCGTCATCACCACGATAGGCTGCACTGTTCTCGTCCATGACCTTGGACCAAACACTGCGGCCAAGTGCAGCCACTCGGCTTGGACGGGCTCCGCAGTTTCTGAGGGAGTGTGGCGCAAACGGAGTACGTCCGAAACCTCGGTTCCGGTTTTCGATTTCCACACTCGCCCAAGGTATGCAAGGAGGGCTCAGGGTTCAGATGTTAAGGGGTTTAGGTTTTCGTCGCTCGTCTTAGAACTCCCCGGGTAGCTGCCAGCAGCTGCAGTCGCAATATGTGGCAACAGCTACTTGTCTGCAAACTCTACACGCACGTAGGGGACTGAGACACGCCGTATCAATTTTAAATTTTGAGTTAAATCAAGCGTAGCTGCGTAGCGAACCGGAAGACCCATGGTGAGGTTCCCTGCCGTTTAGCAAAAGGCGCCGAAGGCACTGAAGAGCTTAGCCGTAAGTTGGCCTGCGTGGCTGCACACAAGACCCACTTAAAGGCATCGTATAAAATATAACATACGTCTTTCATACTGCTGTATGGTCTGGCATACTCTGATAAATTATAACACACTCTTGTAGACAATTATATGCTCCATATATGCCACAGACATACCTCAATCTGCTATAACACCAAACATCATCCCAGCAGCTGAGAGCACGGAGGACCGACTCCGAACCGGACACTTCTCACCGGGCACCGAGGATTCGATCCAAAGGTCCTCGTCTTTCAGCTCGGCTTCGATACGCTTTCAGGGTTTAGGGGTTCGGGGTTAGGGTTTCGGCGCTCACACTTAGGGTTTTAGGGTCTGGTTTTGTTTCTTCTCGCATGGAAGGGATCCGTGTTTTGTGGTTTTTCGTTGCTCACACTCGGACAACCCTATTCAAAAGTAGTTGTGTTGATCCCTTAAACAGTGTTTTAAAGCGTGCTGTCTTACATCTTCCTTCCCTCCTTCCTTCCTTTCTTCCTTGCTTCCCCCCTTTCCTCGTTCCTTCCTTCCTTGCTTCCTTCCTTCCTTCCTTCCTTCCTGTGTTTTGCTCAGAAAATAAGACTATTTTTTGGATCCCTTCAATATTGTTTAACCCCTTTATTTCTTTTTTTGACCCCTATCCCGCAAGGTTATTGGTGCGTAGTCGGCTGAGGTGAAGCACTTCCAAGAATGTTCTGGCTGGGCACGAAGGGTTTACGCTGTCACAACTCGTCCGTAGGCAAGGAGGGTTTACGCTCTCACAAGTCGGACAACGAGGGTTTGGGGTTTTAGGGGTTTCGGCGCTCCCGCTCGGACACTCCAGGCGAGGCATGTGGTTCGAAGGCGTTCTGAGGTGAAACTACCATTGTTGCTACAGGCTTCGTTCACAACAATCGACTCAACAAAATACAACCCTGCCAAAGAGGGGTTTGGGAGCTCACACTCGGACAATCCAGGCGAGGCATGCTAAAGAGGGGTATAGGGTTTGGGGTCTGCGCTCTCACAACTCGGACATGCCAGGCGACGTCTCTGTCGGACACTCCATGCGAGGCATCGAGGCGGTCTTATTTGGTGCTGATTTAAAGGGTTCTATAAGGGTTATACTATCTTTTAAAGGGCTCCTTAAAGGGTTCTATAAGGGTTATACTATCTTTTAAAGGGCTCCTTAAAGGGTTCTATAAGGGTTAAACTATCCTTTACAGGGTACCCTCGAGTTCCGGACTCCGCCTTTGCCTGTTAGCAGCTCGAATCACCATCTGCACGGAGCTCGGCTCTACAGAATCCGCGCTCGCAGCCTATATCGAACATCAAAGCACAGACTCCAAAACCGACTCAAGCATGTAATACCGCAGAGGATTTGTTAAATTTTGGGGGGCAGGCAAGAACAAACGTGACGGCGATTGCATAGTCCCCCACCCGAGCGGTGACACTGACACTGCCTCGAAGCACGATATAGCCAAAGTCATTCGATCAGAAGGCAAGGTGTCACGCCAGAGGCCTACTGCCCAGCAGTCCTCGAAGGTCAAGGGCTGAACTGCGTGGATCGTCGGCCCGACAATGATCTCCTGTCTGTAGAACCATGGAAATTATTGAAGCATGAAAGCTCGGCCGCATCCATGAAGAGCTCCCAGAACATGCTAACAAGCCATCCATATGATACCCAGCCGTTGCAACCAACCCAAGGACCAGAAGAGCTGGAGATCCTCGTCCTTTTCTTCCATTTCGAATTCTGCCTGATTCAGCAGGGCTTTATCATGGAAGCAGACCGTCACATGGTCCTTGCAAACACTGCCATCTCCGGCTTAGGCAGATGGTCTGGTGGCGACACCCTACTAACTACGCTCATAATTCTTCTCTGGCTTCAGATCTTCTCCTCTTCATCCCACTGTTCTCTTACTGATACATCTCTGGCTTAACCTCAACCACGAAGGCCCCGGCCTCGGTGTCTGTGGGCGTGGTCACCTCTGCCACGATCTCCTCCACAAGGAGTTCGGGCTCCAAGGCAGGTGCCCCTTTACGCAGGCACCCAGCTACGCAAGCACTATATAGAGGTAGGAGATGGCAGGAGCTCCCTTCCCCAGCCTTCATGGTCTTCCGCGCGGGCCCTGAGGTGGTTTGGGGGATGCTAGATTGCAAGCAGGGCGAAAGGCTTGAGAAGTGCTTCGAAAGATATGACCTAGTCTTGCTTGCAGCCCGGTGTCTTTGGGTTGGGGCTGTGGCAGCAGCGGCGGCGGCAGTTGCGGTGGCAGAGGCAGCAGAAGCAGCGGAGGCGGCAGAGGCAGCCAGCGCGGCAGCAGCTCGCTGCTTCGAAGGCTGGCAGCGAGGCGGCAAGCATCATGGTACTCCGAACGCTTCCGCAGCAACCTCCTTCTCGGATTTCTCATCGTTTGAAGGTCCTACGTTACGCCTGGAACCTACCTGAGCAGGCCTAAAGGCTTGTGCGAAGACATGAGAACCTGGAGACGGGAAGATGAAAGCCCAAAAGCCCACTTCAGGCGGAAAGGGACAAGCGAGGAGCCTTCGACACGGGCTCAGTGAAGCCGCGTGACCTGATCGGCGCAGATGTCTCAGCCTACTGACCTACAGGACAACGGGACCAATGTGACTTGGGCTTCACGGCCTCTAGCCGAGGGAAGTCGGTCAGCAAAAGCTGATGGGATTTTTCGGAGCAGCTTCTTATCTATATACATCTTCCAGTCGATCAACACCTGCTTTCTGCAGGTTCCTATTTGCAACAGCCCGGAATGCATGGTTCTTTCTCTTCTTCTGCTGGGCTTTCGTGATCTTCGAAGGTGC